GTCAAAATGGTTTCTACTGATTATCTTGAAAAGTATTTATCACAAAGTCTTCATATTTCACATAGTGATTGGTCATAACTAGTAGATGACACCTATTGATTTTGGGGTCACTAGGTCAAAGGTCAAGGTCACAGGGACCTTAAATGTCAAAATAATTTCCGCTGATTATCTTGAAAAGTATGTATCACAAAGTCTTCATATTTCACACAAAGATTGGTCATCACTAGTAGATGACCCCTATTGATTTTGGGGTCACTATGTCAAAGGTCAAGGTCACAGGGGCCTAAAATGTCAAAATGGTTTCCGCTGATTATCTTGAAAAGTGTGTATCACAAAGTCTTCATATTTCACATAGTGATTGGTCATAACAAGTAAATGACCCCTATTCATTTTGGGGTCACTAGGTCAAAGGTCAAGGTCACAGGGGCCTTAAATGTCAAAAGGGTTTTCGTTGATTTTTATGCCCCCGCCATGTAATGGCCGGGGCATATAGTGTTACCCTGTTCCGTCATTCCATCCTTCCGTCCTTCCATCCTTCCGTCATTCTGTCATTCCGTCATCATCAGTTTCTGTTCATTATCTTATGAACGGTTGCACACAATCCAACTCAAATTTGACATATGGATATGTCATGAGAAAATACAGGTCAAGTTCGAGTTTGGTCATGGTTCGATGATTTTTGGTAGAGTTATGCCCCTTTTACTTTGAAAATAATATGAAATTTCAGTTTCCGTTCATTATCTCCCCAACGGTACAACACATTCAACTCAAACTTGACATATGGATATGTCATGAGAAAATACAGGTCAAGTTCGAATTTGGTCATGGTTCGATGATTTTTGGCAGAGTTATGCCCCTTTTACTTTGAAAATAATATGAAATTTTCAGTTTCCGTTCATTATCTCCCCAACGGTACAACACATTCAACTCAAACTTAACACATGGATATATCCTGAGAAAATACAGGTCAAGTTCGAATTTGGTCATGGTTCGATGATTTTTGGCAGAGTTATGCCTCTTTTACTTTGAAAATAATATGAAATTTTCAGTTTCCATTCATTATCTCCCCAAAGGTACAACACATTCAACTCAAACTTGACATATGGATGCGTCAAAGGAATGCGCAGGTCAAGTTCAAATTTGGTTATGGTTCAATGACTTTTGGCAGAGTTATGCCCCTTTCACTTTGAAAACAATATGAAATTTACAGTTTCTGTTCATTATCTACCCAATTAAACATCACATTCAACTCAAATTTGACATATGGATATGTTTTTGGAATGCCCAGGCCAAGTTCGAATTTGGTCATGGTTCAATGATTTTTGGCAGAGTAATGCCCCTTTCACTTTGAAAATAATATGAAATTTACAGTTTCTGTTCATTATCTACCCAACAGTGTTACATATTCAACTTAAATTTGACATATGGATATCTCAAAGGAATGGGCAGGTCAAGTTGGAATTTGGTCATGGTTTGATGATTTTTTGGCAGAGTTATGTCCCTTTCACTTTGAAAATATTATAGATACATCTTAGGAATAAGCAGTTTAAGTTTGAATTTGGTCGTGGTTCAATGGTTTTAGACAAACTTATCTTTCCTGAATGTTGGAAAAATTTTGAACTTTCAGTTTCAGCACTCGTACTTTAAGCCATTATTTTGGCTACAAATATGCAATATGCTATTTTTAAAAGGTTAAGACTTAATAATTTCAGTGCCTTGAACATTGTATGAAAATGGTTTGTGTTAACATTGAAAAGTTTTAAGGGCTTTGAACTAAAATGAAAAAAATAATTAATGCACCATCTGAAATTTTGGCTTCATGCGGGGGCATCCAGGGCATGATGACACATTTCTAGTTCCATATTTGAACACTTCCATGTACCCATTTTTGGCAAGTTTCTGTAATAAAATTACCAATTATGTGAGTCAATGGCTAGAAAGTGGGGTATATGTGTCGTTCGACATTCTTGTTTCATATTGGTCTCTTTCAACATTTAACAACTGTTTTATAAATTGCATAGTTAAAATGGAAAAATAAATTTTTTTTATTGCTTATTGATTAATAAAATAATAGGTCAAATGCACATTAGCCGATGACATATATTTATTTGTCGGTTAATTTTATAACAGAATCCCAGCTGCTATTGAAATTTTTTATTGCAAGAGCTAAGTATTTAATTAATCTGTGTCAGAAACCAAAACAAACATGTACCCCAAAAGCAAATTTAAATCATCACATAGAAAACAGCTGACTATACTGCTTAATTAATATTCATTAGTTGAACGAACATTACTTTTAATCCAGTTTCTACGCCGTTCTATAATTAGTTAATTGCCATGCGCATGCAGTAAGTGTGTGACGTAAGGAAAACCACTAGCCTGATTGGTCGCTATTTATATAACTACTTAAAATAGTAACACCCTAATTTTATGCAAGGAATGCCCTCATGAATGATCAATATTTACGATTAGTTTTCGTATCAAATAAGCGATATTTGGAAAAGTAAATGTAAGTCGACAATTCTTGCTTCTTCAACTGAGATCATGCAAGTCGACAATTCTGGCTTACACGCGGTAATCGATAAAGCATTCAATTTTTCGCTAAGAACTATCGAAGAATGATAACAGTCGGCAAAAGTTGTTTACAAAAAGGTTAATTCAAAGAAATATTGACATATACAACAGGAAAAGTTATTTAATTTAGTACATTTTACGGATCTGTAATTGCTTTAAATTAGAGCTAAAAGTACCAGTTTTCCAGGTCTGTACCGCGGTACGTACCACAGATGTCTTGGACCATGGTTTACCGGTATACAAGTTAAACCGCGCACCTCTAATGCTCAAGCTTAAATTTCCTGTTACCATGCAACAAGGGGACATCTCAAAATAGCCTTAAATCACTATTTTGCGTTGATTTTTGTGCCCCCACGTTAGTGGCGGGCATTTAGATTTACCATTATCCAGCCGTCCATCTTTGAATCCGTCCATCCGTTCTTTTTTGTGTCGCACGTAACTCAAAAAGTATTTGGCCTAGAGTCATGAAACTTTACAGGAATGTTGATCAGCATGTGTAGTAGTGCACCTGGGTATTTTCTTCTGGATTTATTTAGTATTTTTAGAGTTATTGCCCTTGACTTAGTAAAATTTTGCAATTTTCAACTTGTGTCGCATGTAACTCAAAACGTATTTGACATAGAGTCATGAAACTTTACCTTATTAGCCTCTCACAAGTCAAAAATTTTCCTAGGGATGAGGGGGACTGCCGCCTCCTTCAAACCCCCAAACAGAATGGGGCGCAACCCCCTGATGTATTTTTTGGTTGGGGGGCTGTGCCTAAAAAGTGGTAACTTTTTAGCTAACCTGTCACAAAGTGACAGGGTGAGCTTTTGTAATCGCTTTTTGTCCGGCGTCCGTAAACTTTTACTTTAAATGACATCTCCTCATAAACCACTTAGCCAATTTCATCCAAACTTCACAGGAATGTTCCTTTGGTGGTCACCTTTGAAAATTGTGCAAAGAATTTAATTCTATGCAGAACTCTGGTTGCCATGGCAACCAAAAGAAAAAACTTTAAATATCTTCTTCTAAAAAACCCGTTGAGCTAGAGCTAAGATTTTTGGCATGAAACATCTTCTAGTGAGTGTCTACCAAATCTGTTCACCTAAAAGCCCTTGGGTCAAAATTGGCACCGCCCCAGGGGGTCATTGATTTTCCCTATATGCATATAGTTAAAACTTAAAAAATCTTCTTTTAAAGAACCCAAAGAGCTAGAGCTAAGATACTTAGCATGAAACATCTTCTAATGGGTGTCTACCAAGTTTGTTCAAATAAAAGCCCTGGGGTCAAAATTGGCCCCGCCCCAGGGGGTCATTGATTTTCCCTATATGCAAATAATAAAAACTTAAAAATCTTCTATTCAAAATCTCAAAGAGCTAGAGCTAAGATATTTAGCATGAAACATCTTCTAATCGGTGTCTACCAAGTTTGTTCAAATAAAAGCCCCAGGGTCAAAATTGGCCCCGCCCTAGGGGGTCATTGATTTTCCCTATATGCATATAGTAAAAACTTAAAAACTTCTTTTAAAGAACCCAAAGAGCTAGAGCTAAGATATTTAGCATGAAACATGTTCTAATGAATGTCTACCAAGTTTGTTCAAATAAGAGCCCTGGGGTCAAAATTGGCCCTGACCTTGGGGTCATTGATTTTTCTTATATGTGTATAGCAAAAACTTAAAAAACTTCTTTGGAAAAAAACAAATAGCTAGAGTTTAGATACTAAGCATGAAACATCTTCTAGTGAGTGTCTACCAAGTTTGCTCAAATAAAAGCCCTGGGGTCAAAATTGGCCCCGCCCCGGGGGACATTGATTTTCCTTATATGTGTATAGCAAAAACTTAAAAATCTTGTTTGAAAAAACCCGAATAGCTAGAGTTTAGATATTAAGCATGAAACATTTTCTAGTAAGTGTCTACAAAGATTGTTCAAATAAAAGCCCTTGGGTTAAAACTGGCCCTGCGCCAGGTGTGTCATTGTTTTTAACTATATGTGTAAAAAAAACTTTAAAAAATCTTCTTTGAAAAACCCAACGAGCTAGACCTTAGATGTTTGGCATGAAACATCATCTAATGGGTGTTTGCCAAGTTTGTTCAAATAAAAGCCCCGGGGTTTAAACTGGTCCGCTCCGGGGGCCTATATACAGGTGAGCGACTTCAGGGCCATCATGGCCCTCTTGTTTTAACAACATTTCTCAAACGAAAACATGTGTTTGGGGCCCAAACAGGACATTTTTTTCAAATTTTGAGGCTTAAAAGGGGGGGGGGGGGTCGAAAGTGCATTGTTTCGTGTATATATGAGGTAAAGGGTTATTAATGAAAATATTTCAAATACAAATTACAACAGACTGTACAATGATTAATTTTTCTTTATCATTTTTCTTGTAATTAAATATTCATTGAAATGTAGAAGTTTCCTTTTTATGTAGTGATAATAACTTTATTCCAGCTCATGTTGAAGGAAAAGTTAAACTTGGTGATACAGAGATGGAACCTGAACCTGATGAAAATTTGATTATGCAGTGTCAAAAATGCCAACAGGTTGATACTTTGGAAGCACTTTTAGACGACGATACTGAGAAAGATTCTTTCCTAGATCAGCCTACTGTATGTTTGGAACACCCAGACACTAAAGAATCCATGGAGCATTTAAAAATCATTGAAGAAGATGTAGAAGATCCAGTTATAGAAACTATAGAGAATATACAAAGTATCTTGAATGAATTAACTGAAAATTTAAATAAAAATGTGTGTGCAGAAGCTAAAATCCAGAGCAATTTGAATGAATTAGAAACATCTTTAAAGGTTTCTCCTGGTTTGAAGATGATAACACCACAAGAAAAAACTTGGTTAAACTTAAACAATTTAGGATGTTTCTTTAGAAAGCAATTGAACTCATTTTTTGAACATTTTCTAAAATACCAAAAATATGTTTTTAATCCAGTTCATTTGAGACCAGAGAAACCAGTGTTATTTGTGTGTCCATATATATATAATGGTCCTGTGTTGGTAATTCCTTGGTGTATGATGAATGAGATTTACAGACTTCTTAGTCTCAGAAATGCAAACATTGAGTCTGAACATCCCATTACAACACGGCTAGCTAGCGATGGATTTTTTAGTGATAATAGTGGGATTGTTTCTTGTGTTTTCTGTGGCAGTATCATATGTGATAACCTTTTTTTGTCACAATCCCATGAAGAACTTACCACTTTCTTGGACAGTCATTGTATACAGTGCATGCTTTTAAGAAGAAATAATATACCATTGGACAATTATGGTAGTCATTTTAATTTGGCAGATCTAATGGCCTCAAGCGATATGCAGTTGATTTATTTAGTGCCTTCTGGAAGCTCGCATCCTGCACATGGAGCCAGGTATACTTGTCCAATGGCTAGATGGTTTCATGATCATTTTCAAGAAATAGTGCCTTCTGGGAGGCGTCTTCCTCAAGCATCATCAGCTGGACTACCACAACCTGATCTTACTCAAGCTGTGATTGTTCAACAAGGACCAATACCTAGTGATGGACAGTCTGTAACCAGTGGAAACATCCCGGCTGTATCACCTTCAACGGTTGAGCAAGCTGTTGTACCTGCCAGTAGAACAATTGCCTCAGCTGTAATACCAAGGAGTTATGTTAATCCTCCCCCTCAGTCATGTCACATGGCTGAGGGGGAGTCACCGCAACAGATGGAGGAAATAAATGGTGACATGGCTGAGGGGGAGTCACAGCAACAGATGGAGGAAATCAGTGAGGAGCAACCCCTAAATGGTATAGGAACTGGGGCTGGAGAAGAAATTATTAGAGGAGAGTTATCTAGCAATAGTGATGCGCATGTTGGAGTGGAGGACAACACTCGTGTTGATGTTGGAAGACAGTTACCTGAACCAAGAGTGGAAGGAAATTTTGATTTTGCAGAAAAGGTATGATATTATTTTCCAATAACTCATTGTTGTAACTAGTTTTCTGTGCTGCTGCTTAATTTATTTTCAATTCATTTTAAATACAATATATTCTAATATTTTTCATTTAGATTTAATGTATGTTGATTTAATACTTTATCTGATATATAGTGTAGCAATTTTATTTAAAGTTATTGTAGTTTAATCATGTGGCAAAATATTTAAATTCTCCTCTAAATTGTAAGTGTTTACATACACATTGATTCAATAAATATAATTTTTCTCTCTTTTTTTTCTCCCAATCATGTAGGACTTGATTATTTGATTACTGTTTCCCTTTCATGTACTGATGCAGACAGGAACAAACAGGGCTGAGGAAGACAATCGGATCATAACTGACATTTGTAGAGATCGTAAGATAATTCTTTGTTATCACAATGTTAACAACGACAAAATTACAAAAACTTTAGAAATTGAGAGTCTTGATATTCTTCATTTTTAGAGACTGGATATTTTAAAATTTGATCTCTAATTTTACTATTCTTAGCAAATTTTGCTGCTTGAACCAGATTTTTCTACTTTTAGTTGAAACTGACAGTTGTTGATGCATTTTTTAGCTCATCTGTCACAAAGTGACAGGGTGAGCTTTTGTGATCGCTTTTCGTCCGGCGTCCGTCCGTCCGTTAACTTTTACTTTCACCTTTAAATATTGTTCAAAGAATTTAATTCCATGCAGAACTCTGGTTGCCATGGCAACCGAAAGAAAAAACTTTAAATATCTTCTTTTAAAAAACCATAAGAGCTAGAGCTTAGATATTTGGCATGAAACATCTTCTAGTGAGTGTCTACCAAGTTTGTTCAAATAAAAGCCCTGGGGTCAAAATTGGCCCCGCCTTGGGGGGTCATTGATTTTCCCTATATGCATATAGTAAAAACTTAAAAAATCTTCTTTTAAAGAACCCAAAGAGCTAGAGCTAAGATATTTAGCATGAAATATGTTCTAATGGGTGTCTACCAAGTTTGTTCAAATGAAAGCCCTGGGGTCAAAATTGGCCCTGCCCCGGGGGGGTCATTGATTTTCCCTATATGCATATAGTAAAAACTTAAAAAATCTTCTTTTAAAGAACTCAAAGAGCTATGGCTAAGATATTGAGCATCAAACATGTTCTAATAGGTGTCTACCAAGTTTGTTCAAATAAAGCCCTGGGGTCAAAATTGGCCCCTCCCCAGGGGGTCATTGATTTTCCCTATATGCATATAGTAAAAACTTAAAAAATCTTCTTTTAAAAAACCAACAGAGTTAGAGCTAAGATATTTAGCATGAAACATGTTCTAATAAGTGTCTACCAAGTTTGTTCAAATAAAAGGCCTGGGGTCAAAATTGGCCCGCCCTGGGGGTCATTGATTTTCCCTTTATGCATATAGTAAAACCTTAAAAAATCTTCTTTTAAAGAACTCAAAGAGCTATGGCTAAGATATTGAGCATCAAACATGTTCTTATAGGTGTCTACCAAGTTTGTTCAAATAAAGCCCTGGGGTCAAAATTGGCCCCGCCCCAGGGAGTCATTGATTTTCCCTATATGCATATAGTAAAAACTAAAAAAATCTTCTTTGAAAAAACCCAAATAGCTAGAGTTAAGATATTAAGCATGACACATCTTTTAGTGAGTGTCTACAAAGTTTGTTCAAATAAAAGACCTGGGGTCAAAATTGGCCCCGCTCCGGGGGTCATTGATTTTCTTTATATGTGTTTAGCAAAAACTTAAAATCTTCTTTGAAAAAACCCAAATAGCTAGAGTTTAGATATTAAGCATGAAACATCTTCTAGTAAGTGTCTACAAAGTTTGTTCAAATAAAAGCCCTGGCCCGGCCCCAGGGGTGTCATTGTTTTTAACTATATGTGTATAGTAAAAACTTTAAAAAAATCTTCTTTTAAAAAGCCCCATGAGCTAGAGCTTAGATGTTTAGCATAAAACATCTTCTTATGGGTGTCTACCAAGTTTGTGCAAATAAAAGCCCTTGGGTTAAATTGGCCCTGCAACGTTTGGGGGGGGATGGGTTGGGGGGGGGGGGCTATATACAGGTGAGCGATCTAGGGCCATCATGGCCCTCTTGTTAAAATATATTTCAGGCTTTATTTTGTGAATATCAAGACTTCTTTAGGTGCTGTGACTGTAGAAATACATCCCATAAATTGTAAAAGCACATGTGCAAAAGTCCAGTAAATTTTAACTTGACCTATTGTATGAAAAAATTAGAGCTTTTGCTACAGTTAGGTTGTCATTCCTTTGCCATTGCCGTCCAAAAATTTTAAAATTGGCCATTAATATTTTGTTTCTTAATGGATGGTATTCATACTTGTCCACAACAACCTGTTGACAAGACCTTCAATTAGACCAGACAAAACTTGAAAAATATTTTCAGATGGTACTGGCGCTGAAGCTACAGCTAGGATAAGGGTTCCTGAGATGAGTGACTTTGATGCGAGAATGGCTTCATTTATTCCATGTCGTCACCAGTTTAACCAGACACCACAGGCGTTCACTATAGCTGGTCTCTTTTATACAGGTAAGTATATAGATTATAGACATATCATGGTACAGTCTTATCCATGCTGACTAAATGTAGACATAAGAGGCTTTGGTAACAATAGGTTACAGATGCTGTTAATGCCATTCATCCTATAGTGTTAGAAAATTGTATTACTTGACTAAATAGACATTTGGTGGAGAACAAGGAAGTAACTATTTAAGTACCTGTCTGTCTGTTCCTAAAGTCAAGGTCACCTTTTAATGTCAAGTGCCACTCAATTGCTTGTTCACTGCCAATTGGAGACTTTACTTCAATCTTGGCCCAACTGTTCATATCAGCAAGATGATGTGCTGAACCCTGCACTGTTGCTTCAAGGTCAAAGGGACACTTGAAGGTCAAATTTCATATTAGCTCCATAGATCTTACACCACTGAAAGGCTTTACAAACATAGATCAGATATTTACCACAACAAGGTGATGTGCAGAACCCGTGCCTCTGCTATGTTAGCTAAAGGTCAAGGTCACCTATTAGTGTCAAATGTCAGAAATGTCATATTGGCACTATAAATTCTATATTCCTTGAAAGACTTCCCTCACACTTTGCTCATAATATTATGTTCACCTTCAAAAATAACGATAAATGGACCTACATAAAGTTGTTGGTCATACTGATAGTGGCGGTATTTGTCACCCAAGTGACAGCTTTGGCTTTTGAAATATTTTCAGTCTCTTACGCTGAAAAATGAAAATAAAATGTTTTATAGTTTCTTTAAAAAATAATTTTGATTTAAGGGCAGATAACTTTAAAACATGATGGATGACCCTATCTTCATTTTACTTAAAATGTCTTGTTATCATGTTCTGAGATAATGCAAAGTTTAATTAGATTCTTATACAATAAAATATGTATATATTATCTGATTGTGAATAATGTATTTGTCTTATTATGTCCATAAATATGTCTTCCTTGTAGTACAATGTTTATAAAAATCTGTACACCTTTAATTGACATAACATTATAAAGATTGTCTGAAACTGCATGCATTGAGCTTACATATTCTAATGGATTTCTACAAAATTTATAGAAATCATATCATATGGATCATAATAATATGGATCTGCCTTTGGGTCAGTGTTGTTGTGTCTACCAGCTGAGTTCAATAGGGAGAACATCATTTTTGCTTTCTAGGGGTCTTTGGTTCTTAGGGCACAACAAAATTTCTCTGGAACAATTTCTGAGACATCAAGACCAATGGTCATTTGTCTTGCACTGCGGATTTCATGTTTAAATCATGTGGAATTAGTAGTCAGTCACTTACAGAGAAATTGCTATTTACTGGTTAGTAATCCAGGAAAGCTGATTAGGCAGGCCAACCACTGAAATATGACCAACAATATGTTAAAATTTGCATAAAGACCAGACAAACACACAAGTTTAATAGTAAAAAATGATACATTACTTTACCAAGAGCTTAGATAATTGATGATTAAAAGGATATAAAATTTGATTTCAGGTGACAGAGATCAAGTCAGATGTTTCATGTGTGGTGGTTGTTTAGACCAATGGGAAGAAAGTAATTTTGTCTTTTTAATTGTGCTATTTACATATTTGTAACTATTGTAATTCAATTGTGATTAGATCATGGAATTTGAAATAACTTGACACATTTGTTTATTAGGAATGTGCTGTGTACCTTGTATAAGAAATTAAGTGTGTTGCTTTAACTCTAGCTGAAAACTGCTCATCTTCACCACTACATAATAATAAAAGCTTGACATTGGTATAAAAACAAAAGATGATTATGGTCATATTTTGGCATTACTTGAATTATTTGTAATTTCATTGTTAACTCATTACTGTACAAGCATTTTTTTGAAAAATGGCTGTTCTTAGTAATGTCGACAAAATCATAATCTTTTATTACTGGTGACATGCTACAGTATTTAAATTACAACACATTCAGCTTACGGAACGTCGGCGGTTCTACTCAGGTGCCCGTTTAAGTGCCTGAAATAATGCACGGAAAGGCACCTGAGGTCTTCCTCCACCAGTAAAGCTGGAACGTCCCGATATGACCTATACTGTGTCGATGTGACGCAAAACCCAAAAAACAAACAAACAACACATTCAGCCATTTTACTCTTTTCTTTCTGTTATAGTGGATAATCCATTTTTGGAGCATGTGAGACATTATCCTCAGTGTGAGTTTATCTGGAACTTTGTCATTGACTTACAGATGCACAATGATCCTTTGGTGAGTTTTATCTTTACCTTTTATAGCATGTTACTGTACTATTGATGATTGGTCACAAATTTAAAACCTTCAAATTTTATTTACTTTGATTGGTTGTCCAAATTTTCTGTACTTTGAAAAGTTGCTCAAATTTTCATTGGTTTGTTACATTACTCTTTTAAAGCATATAAAGCAATATATCTGCTGTTGGTAATTTCTAGCTCACCTAACCACAAAGTGGTCAAGGTGAGATATAGTGATGTAGTTGTGTGTTGTCAACAATTTGGGTTGTTAACACTTTAGCATCATAATCATAATCAAACTTTGTCAGAATGTTTGTGTCAATGAAATACAGGTCAAGTTCGAATATGGGTCATCTCGGGTCAAAAACAAGGTCACAGGAGCTAAAAATAAAAAAAGATTGTTAACACTCTTGTGGTCCAAATATTCTGGAACTTTGTCAAAAAGGTTGTTTTGATGATTTCTAGATCAATTTGAATAGGGGTCGTCTCCGGTCAAAAACTAGGTCACAGGAGCTAAAAATAGAAAAATCTTGTTAACACTCTAGTGGCTGCAGTTTTGATTCAAATGTCCTGCTGGAAATCAGAAAGATTATTTTGATGATATCTAGGTCAAGTTCAAATATGGGTCATCTCAGATCAAAAACTAGGTCACAGGAGCTATAAATAGAAAAAGCTTGTCAACACTAGTGGCTGCAGTTTTGATTGAAATATCCTGGACATTGGTCAGGAAGGTTGTTTTGATGATTTCTGGATCAATTTCAATATGGCTCGTCTCAGATCAAAAACTAGGTCACAGGAGCTAAAAATAGAAAATTCTTGATAACACTCTAGTGGCTGCAGTTTTGTTTCAAATTTCCTGGAAATTAATCAGAAAGATTGTTTTGATGATATCTAGGTCATGTTCGAATATGGGTCACCTCGGGTCAAAAACTAGATCACAGGAGCTAAAGATAAAAAAGCTTGTTAACACCCTAGTGGCTACAGTTTTTATCCAAATATCCTGGAAATTTGTCAGGAAGGTTGTTTTGATGATTTCTAGGTCAAGTTTAAATATCAAACATCCTGGTCAAAAACTAGGTCACAGGAGCTAAAAATAGAAAAATCTTGTTAACACTCTAAGTGGCTGCAGTTTTGATCCAGATATTCTGGAAATTTGTCAGGAAGGTTGTTTTGATGATTTCTAGTTCAAGTTTGCATATGGGTTGTCTCTGGTCAAAAACTAGGCAACAGGAGCTTAAAATAGAAAAAGTTTGTTAACACTCTTTTGGCTGCGTTTTTGTACCAAATATCCTGGAAATTGATCAGGAAGGTTGTTTTGATGATTTCTAGGTCAAGTTCGAATATCGATAATCTCAGGTCAAAAACTAGGTTACAGGAGCTAAAAATAGAAAAATCTTGTAAACATTAGTGGCTGCAGTTTTGATCGATTCAGAGTCAACTCGTCCCCTGGTCAACTCGTCCTCTGGTCAACTCGTCACCTTTTTGGTCAACTCGTCCCTTGGACAACTCGTCCCCTGGTCAACTCGTCCCCAACTCGTCCCCTATATTTTATTATTATTTGTTTTTCATATATTTCATAAATTATTATAGACTGTTAAAATAATATATTATAAAATTACTGAATTGGACATATTTTGACGCTTTTTGTATGCGAATATTTGGAGTTTTTTAGCTCACCTGTCACAAAGTGACAGGGTGAGCTTTTGTGATCGCTTTTCGTCCGGCGTCCGTCCGTCGTCCGTCCGTCCGTAAACTTTTGCTTTAAATGACATATCCTCATAAACCACTGAGCCAATTTCATCCAAACTTCACAGGAATGTTCCTTTGGTGGTCACCTTTAAAAATTGTTCAAAGAATTTAATTCCATGCAGAACTCTGGTTGCCATGGCAACCGAAAGAAAAATCTTTAAATATCTTCTTTTAAACAACCCTAAGAGCTAGAGCTTAGATATTTGGCATGAAACATCTTCTAGTGAGTGTCTACCAAGTTTGTTCAAATAAAATCCCTGGGGTCAAAATTGGCCCCGCCCCAGGGGGTCATTGATTTTCCCTATATGCATATAGTAAAAACTTAAAAAATCTTCTTTTAAAGAACCCAAAGAGCTAGAGCTAAGATATTTAGCATGAAACATCTCCTAATGAGTTTCTACCAAGTTTGTTCAAATAAAAGCCCTGGGGTCAAAATTGGCCTCGCCCCAGGGGGTCATTGATTTTCCCTATATGCATATAGTAAAAACTTAAAAAATCTTCTTTTAAAGAACCCAAAGAGCTAGAGCTAAGATGTTTGGCATGAAACATCTTCTAGTGAGTGTCTACCAAGTTTGTTCAAATAAAAGCCCTGGGGTTAAAATTGGCCCCGCCCCAGGGGGTCATTGATTTTCCCTATATGCATATAGTAAAAACTTAAAAAATCTTCTTTTAAAGAACCGTAATGGCTAGAGCTAAGATATTTGGCATGAAACATCTTCTAGTGAATGTCTACCAAGTTTGTTCAAATAAAAGCCCTGCGGTCAAAATTGGCCCGCCCCAGGGGGTCATTGATTTTCCCTATATGCATATAGTAAAACTTAAAATATCTTCTTTTAAAGAACCCAAAGAGCTAGAGCTAAGATATTTGGCATGAAACATCTTCTAGTGAGTGTTTACCAAGTTTGTTCAAATAAAAGCCCTGGGGTCAAAATTGGCCCGGCCCCGGGGGTCATTGATTTTCCCTATATGCATATAGTAAAAAACTTAAAAAATCTTCTTTTAAAGAACCGTAAGAGCTAGAGCTTAGATATTTGGCATGAAACATCTTCTAGTGAATGTCTACCAAGTTTGTTCAAATAAAAGCTCTGGGGTCAAAATTGGCCCCGCCCCCAGGGGGTCATTGATTTTCCCTTTATGCATATAGTAAAAACTTAAGATATCTTCTTTAAAAGAACCATAAGAGCTAGAGCTTAGATATTTGGCATGAAACGTCTTCTAGTGAATGTCTACCAAGTTTGTTCAAATAAAAGCCCTGGGGTCAAAATTGACCCCGCCCCAGGGGGTCATAGATTTTCCCTATATGCATATAGTAAGAACTTAAAAAATCTTCTTTTAAAAAACCGTAAGAGCTAGAGCTAAGATATTTAGCATGAAACATCTCCTAATGAGTTTCTACCAAGTTTGTTCAAATAAAAGCCCTGGGGTCAAAATTGGCCCCGCTCCAGGGGGTCATTGATTTTCCCTATATGCACATAGTAAAATCTTAAAAAATCTTCTTTTAAAGAACCCAAAGAGGTAGAGCTAAGATATTTGGCATGAAACATCTTCTAGTGAGTGTCTACCAAGTTTGTTCAAATAAAAGCCCTGGGGTCAAAATTGGCCCCGCCCCAGGGGGTCATTGATTTTCCCTATATGCATATAGTAAAAACTTAAAAAATCTTCTTTTAAAGAACCGTAAGAGCTAGAGCTTAGATATTTGGCATGAAACATCTTCTAGTGAATGTCTACCAAGTTTGTTCAAATAAAAGCCCTGGGGTCAAAATTGGCCCTGCCCCAGGGGGTCATTGATTTTCCCTATATGCCTATAGTAAAAACTTAAAAAATCTTCTTTTAAAGAACCCAAAGAGCTGGAGCTAAGATATTAAGCATGAAACATCTTCTAGTGAGTGTCTACAAAGTTTGTTCAAATTTAAGCCCTGGGATCAAAATTGGCCACGCCCCAGGGGGTCATTGATTTTCCCTATATGCATTTAGTAAAAACTTAAAAAATCTTCTTTTAAAGAACCATTAGAGCTAGAGCTTAGATATTTGGCATGAAGTCTTCTAGTGAATGTCTACCAAGTTTGTTCAAATAAAAGCCCTGGGGTCAAAATTGGCCCCGCCCCAGGGGGTCATTGATTTTCCCTATATGCATATAGTAAAAACTTAAAAAATCTTCTTTTAAAGAACTCAAAGAGCTAGAGCTAAGATATTTAGCATGAAACATGTTCTAATGGGTGTCTACCAAGTATGTTCAAATAAAAGCCCTGGGGTCAAAACTGGCCCCGCCAAGGGGGGGGGGGGGTCATTGATTTTCCTTTTATGTGTATAGCAAAAACTTAAAAATCTTCTTTGAAAAAACCCAAATAGCTAGAGTTTAATTGAGATATTGAGCATGAAACTTCTTTAAGTAAATATCTACAAAGTTTGTTCAAATAAAAGCCTGGGGGTCAAAACTGGCCCTGCCCCAGGGGTGTCATTGTTTTTAACTATATGTGTATAGTAAAAACTTTAAAAATCTTCTTTTAAAAAACCCAATGAGCTAGAACTTAGATGTTTAGCATAAAACATCTTCTTATGGGTGTCTACCAAGTTTGTTCAAAGAAACAAATAAAAGCCCTTGGGTAAAAATTGTCCCGGGGGTGGGGGGGCCTATATACAGGTGAGCGACCTCAGGGCCATCATGGCCCTCTTGTTTTATCTAATAATAAGTATATATATGCATAATTCTGATTAAATTACATACAGAAAAAAACCGACACGAAGACAATCAATAGCAATAACATATAATGTATTTATCAGGGCAACTTTTATATTGACAATTTCACAAGAAACAATTATCATATTTTTAATTGACACGATCCTTCTGTTAATCTGTCGTCAGTCTTTAATCCATTCAGGGAGGCGGTAAAAATCAAAGAGTTGGATTAATTATCATTAAAACTCCGATTAATTAAACACTAATTGAATGTTTGCAAACTTACCTGTCTTTGTAGTTTTCATCAAAGCTATGCACGTGCGCTTAGATAAAGATCATTAAAATTTAACGTAAAAAAGACGTTATTTTATTAATATTTCGATATCAATCAAATTCATTATTAATTTTACATAAAAGAACTATTTAAAGACATTGATTTACAACATAATAGTGACGAATAGATAGAAAGTAGGAGACGAGTTGACCATATTAGGGACGAGTTGACTCTTTCAGGACGAGTTGACCAAAAGTAGAGGACGAGTTGACCAAAAAGGTGACGAGTTGACCAGGGGACGAGTTGACCAGGGGACGAGTTGACCGGATTGCGTTTTGATCAGAATATCCTTGAAGTTAATCATGAAAATTGTTTAGATGATTTCTAGATCCAAGTTCAAATATGGGTTGTTTCCGGTCAAAAACTAGGTCACAGGAGCTAAAAATAGAAAAATCTTGTTAACACTCTAATGGCTGCAGTTTTGATCCAAATGTTCTGGAAATTGTTGATGATTTCTAGGTAAAGTTCAAATAAAGGTCACCTTGGGTCAAAAACCAGGTCACACTGCCCAAAAATGGATAACTCTTATAAACACTCTAGAGGTCACAGTTTTTATCAATTGTCTTCAAACTTGGTCAGGATGCTTGTCTAAGACATTGTTCGGATGAGGTTGATGGGTCAGGGTAGCGATTTTGAAAATAGAGTAAAAAATTGCAAAATGCCTTTATGAAAGAAATATATTTGCATTTTTGTATTTATGATTGAATAATGGTGCATGCAAAAAATATTGCTAAAAGGTAAAAAAACTACTAGAAATAGATGCATAATATATTGTTCCAGAACATTTTATTCTGTGTAAATGCAATATTAATGTTTGTTAAATGTCAAAGACATTTTATCTTAGAACTCTTCCAAAAAATACATTTACCATTATGAGTTTTATAAAGATTTAAGATTTTTCATGAGTTATAGCTTTATAATCTTTACATTATTAGTTATTGAGGTTTTTTGACAGGTTAAATGGCCCCATATAAATGGTTCTTTGTTCAAACAGCCATTTATATATATGGCCATTAACCTCTTAAAATTCTTAACTTCCTTTTTTAGAGAAAGAAAAAATGTATCTCTTCATAAATTAAGAGCAGCTCTGCTGTGTATATAAAACCATATAAAACTCACTATTACCTACAAATGTGCAGTATTGTAAATGTTTATTGTTTACTTCAGTTGCCACATGTGATAGATGCGTTTGTTATGTCAAGTGCTGGATCGGCAGCTGCAGCAGATGGTTATACACATCGGCAAATATATAATGCTGTGGATCGTCTTATTGTCAACAGAGGTAAAACTAAAATTAAGTTTTTGTATTATTGTATTGTTACTCAAAAGGAATGAAGTATTGAAAATAGCAAGCTTATATGGAGACATTGCTTGGGATGAATTTTGGAAATCCTAGGTCACTGCTTTTTAATCCAGTCAATAACTAAGTTTGGAATTAGATATTGTAATTAAACTTGGTGTATAGCTTATGTGGAGACCTTTTGTAGTTTGGGATTGCTATATAGTACCCAGGGTAATATTTTGGAAATCAATCAAATTATTATTTATTGAAGGATGTGATTGATACTTTGACAAAATGGACATAACCATCATACTGAGTATTAATTCAAATACATGTATGACCTTGATTTTGAATTAACTTAACCCAATAAAACATAAAGTACTGAAGGTGCAGCCCCATTTATCATGACTCTTGTTGCAAATATTGTTTCATGGTACTGCCATGTTCCTTGTTAAAAAACTAAATCTGATTTTTAAATTGCATGCGTAAGTATTTCAGGATTATTTCTGTTTTTAAGACTCGTTACAGCCCTTATCCTCTATATATACTTTGAAATAATATGCTTTATTTGGTATGTCTGATGTTTTTAAAACATTATAGAACAATTTAAATTTGTTTTATTTTCAGACTTCATCACATATGAGAATATAATTGGGATGCTCAGAGACATGGGCGAGTCACCAAGGCGTTAGTTTGTGTGATAATTTAGCGGATGAGAAGTTTAAGAGTAGAACATTTTGAACATTTCCTAAAGAGAACGAAGAGAATTTTTATCAAGCACTTCTACAAGTGGAACAAAAACTTTGAAGGATTGAGAAAAAGAAGACAGATTATAATTGTATACATAAATAATAAAGGAAATTATTCACAAACATTATAAGTGTAACTTCTGATAGCATGATTGTATGGCTTGTGTATTTTAACGTAAAGAAAAGCTTATCTATAGGAAAATGGATAAACTTGAGAATATTCATAATTATAGCCCCCCTGGGCAATTTATTTTGTTAAATTTCTTCTAAAATAGATTATTAGAAATTTAAGTGATTGGTTACAGTTATAAAGATTCACAATACCAAAGTTATTCAAACATTGTTATGATCTATGGTTATTGGAGATTTTTTTTTCTGAGATTATGTTTTTTTATTACAGCTGTTTTTATTTATTTTATTTATTTTTTTATTTATTTATTATTAATTTTAGGCATCAGGACATAAATTAAAATCAATTTTAATCATGGAAATAGCATTCTTTATCTGATTTTTTTTAAGATGAGTTTAAAATACTCACAAATTGAGATTAGATTTTAGCTTATGGCAGCATGCCTTTAGGTTCATGCTTTTCCTCATGTAAATTTTGAAAATGTATTTAAAAGTAAAAATATTGTAAAGTGAACAAGGAAGTTATTTACATTTTGCAAACAGCATTTACATTCCACATTAATCTCCAAAATGAGGTCAAAATATGCAAAAATAGCCTTGATTGCATTAGTCCTGCAGTAGAAAAATTGTGATGAATACTGTGATATAGCAATATGCTAACACCAAGAAACTAAAACCAATAATTTTGTTTAAGATTTTTATTCCAAACACATGACTGTGATCTTGAAAAAATAAATTGTGATATAAGTGTTAGTTCACTATAATATAGTGCTCTTTTAATCTATTTATTTTTATCATCTTTTACCAACAGCTATGAATTGTTGGCTTTTAAACTTCAAATGTGTCTGGTTTTTAAAAAGGGCTTTTGTTGTTGATATATAAGTTATGTTTATGTTTAACATAAATGCTATTTATACATTAATATTCTTATTTAAAATTTAAATAAAACAGTTTGTAAATAGACATAACTTTTTAAACTGTGAATTTGATATTATAGCTTAAGAGACAGTAATAACATACAAGGTAAAGTGTATTACTTGAAGTTATAAGTGTAACCTTGATTAATGTAGACAGTGTTTTACAGTAATACATTTTACTTATAATGTATATTAATTAGTGATAATGATTAAGTGCCATATGGTATTTTATCCCACCCGGGACTTTGGTTTCTTTCATGTTGCCATATGACCTTTACATTGTTGGTGCGACATAAAACCCAACCTGAAAAAATGTTTGTGACACTGGTTGTTATATCAGACCATGTTTTTGTTTATGAGCTGATAATGTATGTGTTTATTCATTAATAAGAGAAAGTGCTATTTTATCTTTGATACACAAAGACATCAAAATGTATTATGTCTGTGCTTGGTTAACATTGTTTCATATATGGTTATATTCTCTTTTATCATGGATATCAGTCATTTTTTTTTTCTAAATGATCAGAATTTATCTAAATAGTTTGTTAAACCATTAATAAATATTTTGCTTTTTTCTTATTCCAATAGAATTGTATATAATGATTTGATAGTATATTGATGATTAGAGATGTAAAGATTAATGATGTAATCATTGCGTTGGGATTTTCCTTATCCGCACATAATGTATACAGCAGAAAAAAATGGCAAATCATCACTATGTTATACATACAGAATTCACGTTGTATCTATATAATTATAGCAATACACAATCAATTTTTTTTTCTGATAAGAATAATGTGATGAATACAACCATTGTCATAGATAGTAGGAAACTTGACTTTTGGGTATTTTGATGTTGTTGTTTTTTTTGCTGTTGTATTTTTTACTGTCATACTGTCATAATGATAGTTTATTTTATATCTTAAAGCAGTTAGCCTGCTTAGCTCAATAGAGAAAGCATGAATGTATAATCCAGTGGTCGCTGGTTTGATTCTCCAGTGAGAAGGAAATTTGTCCATGAAAATTGATCCCAGACCTTGTGTCTAATGGCCATTTGTCTCTCACCTCTGATTCAGAAATCATGTGGGATTAGTAGTCTGTCGCTTGCAGAGAAATTGGTCATTACTGGTTAGTTATCCAGGAAAACCTGCTAGATGAAATTAATGCGTTAAAGTAAGCGTAAAATTGAGAGAAAAAATATAAAAAAAATTTAAAATTAAAAAAAAAAAAAATTATTACCAGTACATGTAGATGTGCTTTAATCTATGTTAAACTACATTGAGTGTAGAAATGTTTGCATAAATGCCATGAATACCATGACATTTGTTTTATAAAAAAGAAAGATGAGAGACAAATATATATGCTATAAGTATGTTCAAACAAGGAACCATGTTTTGTGCTCAGCACCAATGTGATAGTTTCAGAATTATTAAGTCATTGTACCTCCTGCTCAACACAGTAGGAAGGTGAGGGTTACATGCTGGAATCAGCTTGCATGTCCCACTGCTAATCTGTCTGACATTTGTTTTTGTTTGTCTTGCAGATATCATGTCAAATCATGTTAAGATTTTAGCTCGACTTTTCAGTAGTGGGACTGACCTTCTCATTAATGCATCTTGGTGAAACTTTGGTTAATGTTTTCCCTGCATATTTTTGTACTTCTTATTTCATGCTTTCCAGTGTTTTATTGTAATATATCAGATGATTATATTCTGATAAACCACTAGTGAAATTTATAAAATATAATTATCACAGTAGCCGGACTATATCTGAATGCGGATGAATAGAAAATCATAAAGAAATGGAATAAAAGGCAGAAATAAATGCTGTCATGCGTAAATTTTGATCCTTTAGGAAAAGAAAGTCGATGTCACGATACATCATATTAAAAATGTAACAAAATTAGACAAAATTTAACAGAACTATATTTCAAAATTAATGATGTGACGTCATGATGTGATGACATCACAAAGGAGAATGCGCGACGTTACGCGGCAAAATAGGTAAAAAATACTTAAAATCACTTAAAAAGCATGAAATAAAAAGAAAATATATTTGTTTTACATATAAGATTGAAATATATTTCATTCGTGAACACCAGCTATTATATTTTCACTCGTGGCTACGCCACTCGTGAAAATATTTCATCTGATGTTTACTCAGTGAAATTATATTTCAGTCTTACATGCAAAACAAACAAATATCCTCTATATATATATCATGAAGCCTATCGTATAGTACATTGTATTATCTAGGCTGAAAGATGGTTTTTTTTCCTCTTATAAAGAGGTGTACATGATGTAATTTGTAAGTAAACAAATTTAAGATTATAGTTTAAGAGGTCACTATTAGTGTCAAGGTAGTGGACTAGAATTAGAACCGACCTTGTACTAATTGTAAGTTTGTTACTTAAATTGGTTATACCAAAGACAATTTTAAAGTTGTAGTTTGATCTATGACCGGTATCAGTATAATTAGACTGGTTTGAGAGTTATGTCAATGTGTCTATGACGTGACTTCAGAGCAGTACTGTAAACAGGGTTCATACAGACATGGAAATATGGAAAATTACACTAAATATGGAAAATTACTCTTTGCATGGAATTATCATGAAAAATCATACTTAGCATGGAATTATCATGAGTTTTATAGAGTGAAAGTTAATTATGGATCTTTTAAATTTATATATGCATGTAATATTAAACTAAAATTTCCTGAATTTCATATAATCATAAAAATTCAATTTCAAAAGATGTTTGTTCATTACCAATGGTGTATTTTCTTCTGGTACAAATTTTGAAGATGAAATAGATTAAAATGAACATTACACAATTTTCACTGTTATATTATTACTACAGGTACCTTTGTGGAAAATATTGTATTATGAATATGTAATTTTGTGTCTTAGAGGTCATGGAAAATTAATGGACATCATAGAATTTGAATTATTACATGTCTGTATGAACCCCTGTTTAACACTGTTTGCCTATATGAGAATAGAAAATGCTGTCATCTCTTCTACTCAATCATTTGATGCACAGATGTCTTCACTTTGTAAATGTGCTTGTTTATGATATATTTTTAACTCTTTAAGATAAGATACGTAAATATTTATTGAAAAACTTAACGGAGAAAAAATAATTTTATTTATTAGAATTTTGATATGTTGAAATAAGGAAGAGGTCATTATATGTTTATAGAAAAGGTAGCTGCATTTTCGGCAAGATTTGAGAAAATATTTAAAAAAAAAATAATTGGTTATTTGTTACTTAATATTATTGTTTGGTTTTTTATTAAAGTATTGTCTTTCAATTCAATATTGTGAACAAGCATGTATTGCCTGAATTAAACAAGCATTTTTTTTTCTTTTTGTATGGTCAAAACAGGCATTTGAAGTTAGGTTTAGAGTAACTCTTATTCTTTCTTGATATTTTAGAGTGATATGAATGTACATAACAGCTTGTCTTTCTGCATAATTTAATAAAAACAGGAGTGAAAGATCTAGGAATGGAGAAAAAACTAACAGCAAAACTAAAACTGAATTGGTGTTTTTAATTTCCTGAGCTTTGAATTTTGAACAGTCCATATGAAAACTCATTGAATTCAATATCAAAATACAAAACTTGAGCTCCAACTTAAAAAAAAGTTCCTTGGCCTCGTCAGATTGCATGAATGTGTGGACTGACGACGCTCTTTACTGGTGACAAAGGATGTTAACTTTCAGTTTGAGAAGTGTAACAATTAGAAATAAAACTGACATCTTGTCTGTGATATGCAGGCTTCATAGCCTCTGATCCTCTTTCAAAATTCCATTTTATTTAGTTCCGCCCATTGTTTTCTCGTTTAGGGCACACGCATTCTATTACTTAGGGACCATACACCTCTTTTCATGGAATAGTACAAATGTGTCACATTGAAGGTTTCATGAATATGAAAACATCTCCAGATGTTTCTAAATTCAAAATTTCACCATTTTCGTGTTTAAATGTTGAATTCTGCTTAAGTCTTTGCTAGGGGGCGTGGACGGTAACTTGCACTTTCCAGTACTGTCCATGAACAGGCTCAATCAAACCGAGCCTGCAATATTTTCAATTTTGCAGTGTTGGGCTTTCTTTAGGGATTCTGTTTTTCTCTATTGTAACATAAAGCAATGTTTAGCTATATTAGTTGATTGTCAAAGAAGTGTTGTTCATGAAAGTGGTCATACAAGAGTTTTAGAATGTTTTAAGTAAAAAAAAATTCCTTTGTCATTTTATCATATCAAATGATGAAGCTGATTAAAGCTAGATATGTTTTGATAAATTTGTTAGTTTTTTATCTTAATAATATAAAGTGACATTATGCTCATATTTTGATACTCAAGTTGAGCTGAATTGACTTTTTATTTCAAAACATTGACTGTTAAAATGGTGTTTGACAAACAGTTTATTTTGGAAAATGTTTAAGGTAAAATTTAAAATCTGCCTTAAATATAAAAAGACTGCCCCACTCTTTTTATAAACTGAACGTTTCATGGAAGTTCTAATTGAAATTTACGAACATTCAGTTTACGATCCAGGGGTTATTTATTGTTTATGTAAAGTAGATTATTAAATTAAAATGAATTATTGCAATATAAAAACTTATTTTGACTTTCACCTGTTAACTCGCTGTACATACCCTTTAACTCCCTGTACATACCCTAAATGGGCATAATGTCACTTTAAGTAAATAAAAAATCAATTTGTTTTTATATACATTGTGTTTATATATAGAGAGAAATTTTTGATCTTTGTATCTTATCTTAAGTAAAACATAAAAAATGTGTTTTAATATAGAGATTTCTTTCTTTGTTTTTTTATTTTCAATTGCTGCTTTATAGAAATCAAGACTACCTTTTATTTGCACAAAGAGACGCTATTATGGTAAAGAATGATTTTACTTTCCTTGCATGCAAGATTTTAGTATTTTATATTGTACATCTTTTTTATAATTTTAATTTTTGATACTTATGTAAGCCATTGAACAAAAGTTACCAAATCAAAATTATTAAAATAACTTTCAGAGTCTTGATGATTAAAAAAATGAATGGATTCTTAGCTCAACCTTTTCGAAGAAAAAAATAAGAGATATTGCTAAACTTATGTTGTCAGTTCTCGGTGTTATTTTTTCCTTTATAAAACATTGGCCAATTATTAGTCTTTTTATCTTTGCCTAGTGGACTTCTTACCACTAGCCCCTTACCACTGTGAGTTTGAATCCAACAAATGACTTTGGATTCTGTCATGATAGAAAACTATCCAGGTAGCTTACGGAACATTGGTGGTTCTACTCTGGTGTCCATTTCTGCCTGAAATAATGCACAGCGGCTGTGAGCGGCGCACCTGGGATCTTGCTGTACCTGTAAGCTGAAATGTAGCCCTATGATTTTACAGTGTTGGTGCGACCTAAAGAAGAAAAATTAATATACTAAACTTTTTATGCCCCCACAAAGTGGGAGCATATAGCGTTGCACTTGTCCGTCCGTCTGTCCGTCCGTACGTCTGTCCGTACGTCCCGAAATCTTGTGAACGCAACTCCTCTTAAACCGGATGGCAGATTTTGCTTAAACTTACAGGGATGAACAACCTTAATGTGTAGATGGTAGTAAAGGAAGGAATTTTCACTGCGACCAAATTTAACAGAATTATGGCCCTTTGTTGATTTTTTCACTATATACTATAAAGAAATTTTGTGAACGCAACTCCTCTTAAACCGGATGGCAGATTTTGCTTAAACTTCCAGGGATGAACAACCTTAATGTGTAGATGGTAGTAAAAGAAGGAATTTTCGCTGCGACCAAATTTAACAGAATTATGGCCCTTTGTTGATTTTTTCACTATATACTATAAAGAAATTTTGTGAATGCAACTCCTCTTAAACCGGATGGCAGATTTTGCTTAAACTTACAGGGAAGAACAACCTTAATGTGTAGATGTCAGTAAAGGAAGGAATTTTTGCTGCGATCAAATTTTAAGAGAATTATGGCCCTTTGTTAATTTTTTCACTATATACCATAAAGAAATTTGTGAACGCAACTCCTCTTAAACCGGATGGCAGATTTTGCTATAAACTTACAAGGAAGAACAACCTTAATGTGTAGATTGTAGTAAAGGAAGGTATTTTTGCTGACATCAAATTTAAGAGAATTATGGCCCTTTATTAATTTTTTCACTATATACCATAAAGAAATTTTGTGAACGCAACTCCTCTTAAACCGGATGGCAGATTTTGCTTTAACTTCCAGGGATGAACAACCTTAATGTGTAGATGGTAGTAAAGGAAGGAATTTTTGCTGCGACCAAATTACAGAATTATGGCACTTTGTTGATTTTTAGTTTTCAACTTGTGGCACATGTAGTCTAAAAAATATTTGACCTAGAGTCATAAGATTGACAGAACAGTGGCGTGTGGGGGCATCCGTGTCCTATGGACACATTTCTAGTTTTAAACTATTATCTACCTTTCAAGTAATGTCCCTGCATGTTTACAACATACATAAAGCATAAATTTGGCTAAAGTATTTTAAATGAAATCAGTCTGTATCTTGCAAATAAAGTTTAATAGTCTAGCAGAGATTGATGCAAATTTCTTGCAGGAAATGAAAATTAATTTTAAAAATAATGTCATTTCAAATAGTATAGATAATACCAGATTTGGGACAGTACTGTCTGAAGGTGAAAGTGTGCACCTTTCCATACATCTGGTATTTTTTAATAGAATCAAATTTAGTGAAATTGAGCTTGACAAAATCTATTATTACAATTTGAATTGATTTAAAAAATTAACATTACATTTTTTTTGTGAAGTTGGATGGATAGACTTTATTGTTTTTGTTTCAAATTGTTCATTGTCATTGTGGATAAGAATGTTGTCATGATTTTAGATTATTTCATGTAAGGTAGTTGTAGCTTGAAAGTTATGATATGACAGTACGGGACTTAGAAATCCAAGTTAACAACAGAAGTATCAGGTTTTAGAGAAATATATTATAATAATCTTTTTTTTGTTACAAGGTGATTTTAACTTCTCCTGTTGTTTTTAGCTCACCTGTCACAAAGTGACAGGGTGAGCTTTTGTGATCGCTTTTTGTCCGGCGTCCGTCCGTCCGTAAACTTTTGCTTTAAATGACATCTCCTCATAAACCACTGAGCCAATTTCATCCAAACTTCACAGGAATGTTCATTTGGTGGTCACCTTTAAAAATTGTTCAGAGAATTTAATTCCATGCAGAACTCTGGTTGCCATGGCAACCAAAAGAAAAAAATTTAAATATCTTCTTTTAAAAAAACATAAGAGCTAGAGCTTAGATATTTGGCATGAAACATCTTCTAGTGAGTGTCTACCAAGTTTGTTCAAATAAAAAGCCCTGGGGTCAAAATTGGCCCGCCCGGGGGGTCATTGATTTTCCCTATATGCATATAGTAAAAACTTAAAAAATCTTCTTTTAAAGAACCCAAAGAGCTAGAGCTAAGATATTTAGCATGAAACATGTTCTAATGGGTGTCTACCAAGTTTGTTCAAATAAAAGCCCTGGGGTCAAAATTGGCCCCGCCCCTGGGGGTCATTGATTTTCCCTATATGCATATAGTAAAAACTTAAAAATCTTCTTTTAAAGAACACAAAGAGCTAGAGCTAAGATATTAAGCATGAAACATCTTCTAGTGAGTGTCTACCAAGTTTGTTCAAATTAAAGCCCTGGGGTAAAAATTGGCCCCGCCCCGGGGGTCATTGATTTTCCCTATATGCGTATTGTAAAAACTTAAAAAATCTTCTTTTAAAGAACCATTAGAGCTAGAGCTTAGATATTTGGCATGAAACATCTTCTAGTGAATGTCTACCAAGTTTGTTCAAATAAAAGCCTTGGGGTCAAAATTGACCCCGCCCCAGGGGGTCATAGATTTTCCCTATATGTATATAGTAAAAACTTAAAAAATCTTCTATTAAAGAACCCAAAGAGCTGGAGCTAAGATATTTAGCATGAAACATCTTCTAATGAGTATCTACCAAGTTTGTTCAAATAAAAGCCCTGGGGTCAAAATTGGCCCCGCCCCAGGGGGTCATTGATTTTCCCTATATGCATATAGTAAAAACTTAAAAATCTTCTTTAAAAGAACTCAAAGAGCTAGAGCTAAAATATTTAGCATGAAACATGTTCTAATGGGTGTCTACAAGTATGTTCAAATAAAAGTCCTGGGGTCAAAACTGCCCCACGCCTGGGGGGGGGGGGGGGGTCATTGATTTTCCTTATATGTGTATAGCAAAAACTTAAAAATCTTCTTTGGAAAAACCCAAATAGCTTGAGTTTAGATATTAAGCATGAAACATCTTTAAGTAAATATCTACAAAGTTTGTTAAAATAAACGCCCGGGGGTCAAAACTGGCCCTGCCCCAGGGGTGTCATTGTTTTTAACTATATGTGTATAGTAAAAACTTTAAAAATATTCTTTTAAAAAAACCAATGAGCTAGAACTTAGATGTTTAGCATGAAACATCTTCTTATGGGTGTCTACCAAGTCTGTTCAAATAAACAAATAAAAGCCCTTAGGTAAAAATTGGCCCGGGGTGGGGGGGCCTATATACAGGTGAGCGACCTCAGGGCCATCATGGCCCTCTTGTTTTATCATGATATAGTATATTGTTTGTTATTAATAGACTAATAATATTAGTGAATGATAGGTACTTACAGTTGATAATCTTATGAAATGTTTCACATAGTGTGGATCCTTGATTGATTTACAAGAGGGTGGTTGCAATATTTTGAAAAAGGGTACACATATATTAGAGGAGATTTTGCATTTTAAAAGGGGGTGATGAGTCAGCTTTTAGCTGTTTTTCTAAATAGTTTTTGCATGATTTTCACTGTAATAAACGTAAGGTTGGAATCTCAGTAAAGTTCTTTTTAGGTGCAGGGAGGGGGTGGGGGATAATATTGATCTCTTAACTATTCACTGGATCTGCACATGTTTCCACATGTTCTTAACACTTGTGATAGTATAATTAATGTGTTTAAAGGTATAAATATGTAGTTTTTAGTAAAGTATTGAAAAAAATGATCTTTAAGTCTACTGATAGATAAATTGAATCTGTTGTATTAAAACACATGGGTAAGTGGGAAAGATATGGTGACATTTGTTGTGATACATAATTATATAGCAATACCACCTAGGTTTTAAGGTACATTCTTAACAAAAATAGCACTTTTGAACTAAATTTTTATGGCATAAAAATTGATAAGAAAGAAAAAGGAATGTTTATGCATGAATATATTTTTTTACATTTGAATAGAGACAAGATGTTG